AGTCCTAGCCTAGGGCAGCGTTATACACCTTGACAGCTGCCGGGAGGAAAGACCTGTGGAAACGTTCCCTTGAACACCGTAGCTGGAGCAGTCTGTTGCTAAAAGTGCTCTGCTGTCTAATAACAGCCCCATGTAGCGGATGAGAGGTGTTGTTCATGATGGCTGTGAGCTTGGTCAGCATTCTCCTCTCAGCCACCACCTCCAGGAGGTCAAGGCTCAGCCCCAACACAGAGCCAGCCTTCTTGATAAGCTTATTGAACCTACAGTATTTACATCTCTTGTCATGATGCTGCTGCCCCAGCACACAACAGCGTAGAAGATCGCCGCTGCCACCACTGATTCATAAAAAATGCGTAGCAGTGTTCCACACACCAAAGGACCTGAGCCTCCTAAGAAAATAGAGTCGGCTCTGACCTTTCTTGTACAGGGCGTCAGTGTTACCAGACCACTCCAGTTTATCATCCAGGTGTACCCCTAAGTACTTGTAGGACTGCACCCCCTCTATGTCCTCACCCTGGATGGAAACAGGGTTCAGCGGAGACTTATTCCTTCGAAAGTCCATGACCATTTCTTTGGTCTTGCTGGTGTTTAGCTGGAGATGGTTAAGATGACACCACTCCACAAAGCTGGTATTAAGCTCCTATATTCCTCCTCCCTCCCCTCTCTAATACAAAACACAATTGCAGAGTCATCCGAAAACTTCTGCAGATGACATGCCTCAGAATTGTACCTGAAGTCAGAGGTGTAAAAAGTGAACAGGAATGGAGCAAGGACAGTCCCCTGTGGAGCCCGTACTGCTAACAACCTGTTTGGACTCACAGCTCTGTAGCCGTACATAATGTGGCCGGCAGGTTAGATAGTCTATAATCCAGGACACCAGGGGAGTGTCCACCTGCCCCACCCTTAGCTTATCTCTCAGTAAAGGTGGATAGATGGTGTTAAAGGCACTGGAGAAGTCAAAGAACATAACTCTCATAATGCTGCCCGTCTTCTCCAGGTGAGAGTTAGCTCTGTGTAGCAGATACATGACTGCATCCTCCACTCCACTGAGGTGGTCCAGTACAAGCTTTTCCCGAGTTTTCATTAGGTGTGATGTCAGTGCAACTGGTCTGTAGTCATTCAAGACTTTGGGGTGCCTTTTTTTGGGTACTGGCACCAGGTAAGATGTCTTCCAGAGCAAATGAGTATCAGTCAATGAATAATCAATGATCTACTGCACAAGAATATATACTCTATAACTCTGTGAAGAATAAAAACAGTAGTGTGGTCAACAAGAGAAAGATAAGACATCATTCCAGTTCATCTATTTTTAAGAGTCTGTGACATGGTTACATGTTTGAAGATTACTTGTTGTGGTTTGCCCAGCCTGTTCATTTGCAGTTCTATTTATGTTTATTCAATTATTCTACCTTTAAATGTATGATTAAAGAGTATAATGTGTATATTATTATATATATCAATTATGGTGATGTTATCATCTTAATACTTACATTAATTTTTACTTCAACACTTATATAATTATTTAATAAAGATGTTAGGTTTAAGAGATAGCAAAAACTCGAATTTATTAAAAGCTGTAAATACCTTTTACTCAGCAGTATTTAACCTGTTTGAGCAATATATGTTGTTGGCATAAATTGATTTGTGTGCTTGATATAATATAACTGAAAGCTGCTTTTAAAGAAAAATATAGCTGTGTCAATGTGCTGCATGTTGTTGCATAAATAAAACACAAGAAAAGTAAAACTATCACAATATTATATCACAAAAGTCTGAGTACAACTAAAACAGACTAAAGCTACATAATTAAAAAAATGAAAAAAGTCAATGTTGGCTTTAAGAAAATAGGGAGGTGCTTCCTGTAATCTTTGAATATGTTTATGCCTTTGTTGATTTTGTCATGCACGACTTTCCCATCTCTTTCAGATTATACCATTTTCACTAGGGAATGGCTTCATTTAGTTCATACCACATTTTTTCTAAAGGGCTGAGGTCTGTAGGTTGTGCTGGTAATCTCATGCATTGATTTTACAATCCCTTTATCATGAGACAATAGATCTGGAGATGTGCTTCAAGTTCTTATCCTACAGGGTCTTTTTAAATAAAATATAAAGTATTAGCATACAGTATAAAGTATATCTAGATGCATTTATTCTTTTTCACAGACGGGAAGACTTGAATTTTAAAGATGCACTCCCTTTTTGGTACTAATCAATCTGTTGAAAAGGCCCACAGAGAGTTCAGCTTGTTTAATCAAATCACAGGTCCCATTGCACTTGTGCTCATACTGTATGTTTTCTTTTTACATTGTCATGGAATACTGCTCAAGACTCCAGATTCATGAGGTCAGCCTAGAATGTCCTATGGATATTGTATCCTAAGATACAGGATAAAGGTTTTTGAATATTCTCAAATGCTGGTCATGAGTTATGCTTCCAAGCCACTTTTCTAATTACACTTTTACCGTAAAAGTGTTACAGTACATCCTTTTACTGGTGGAGTAGCATTTATCCTATTAGAGTTCAACTTCTCGCTGATGAACACAACTAAACATGCTCATTTTTTCTTGGTGATGAAACTAGGAAGTCTTAGGAATTTTTAAAGCTGTCAGAGAGGTGATTGAGGTCAATAACATTTTAGTTTAGACTTTAGGGCAGAACCCTATGGTAATGTTGTACTGAGTGTTTTATTTCTGTGTTCAACCACTTTGAATGCCCAGTGACAATCAAAGAAGCCTCAAAGCTACAGGCTTTGAAGCTTCTGTAAACTGTGAGCCTTTGTGAAACTAACATACTGTATGTCTGAAAAATAGAGGATTAAATGTGCAGCTTTTATGTTCAACATATTTGGCTGTGTGTAAAAAAGATTGAACATAATATAAATAGAAAAAAATGCAATTTTGGGGGCATATTTGTTTTAGTTTCATCCAGTTCCAATAGGCTTGCCAGTATTCAGGTTTTCATTTTCATTTACTTACACTGAAAGCAGACTTGCATTTTATTTTGCTAAGAAAGTTTTGGAGTTAACTTGACAAATGCAGAGAGTAATGGATATGATGGACACAGGCCATTCACATGGATCCAGGATGTTGAAGGCAATGTTATCAGTAGTTAAATAAATTTTCAGATAAATAGCTGTCATGTAGTGTTTGAGCAGATGTGAAAATAGCTCATTTGACGTCTATTTAATCACATGCAAGCAGCTGCCTCATGAATGTTCCATAGTGACAAAAAATAAATGGATCATTGTTTCCTTTAAAAATTCAAGAAATAGAGGAAGTGGTGAGCTGTTCATATAATTTGGGCCCAGGAAAAGTGGATCGTCATTCTTTTTGATGAGGAGTCTACAAAATAATTAGCCATATGGACTTTTATGGAGAGCACTTAGTCATCAACATTTATGAGCTGTGATGACTGAAAAGACACTGTGGCAGCATGAAGCCGTGCTGAAGAATACTCATGAGCTCTCCTAGGACATTTCAGCTGCATGGTCTAGAGAATGACGCATCATTTGTGTAGTCCTTGAGAGCTGCAGAGCGTTGATATTTTTATTTTAAATAGTCTCAAAAATACGTCATTGCATATGTCACTTGCTTAGGTGGTCAAAATAAACATTTTCCAAGTGTTTAGAAATTGATTGTATAAGGGCTACCCATAGGACCTGCAGGATTCTGGCTCTCCAGAACCAAGGTTTGCTACCTTTGTCAAAATCTGAATGAGCAGTGTTTTCATATTTCTTGTGTATTTAGCAGAATTTAAGTGCACTTATTGAACAAGTCTTCAGGGACAGTTATAACGGAGTAAAGATTGCTAATGTTTTGTATTTTATTAGGATTAATTTACTTTGATTTAAATACAGTAGCACTAGTGAGTTCTCTCTTTTCTTTAGAACATTCTCTCTGGCTATAATAATAACGTAAAGGAATCATTTTTCAGTTTGGTGCTATTGAAGTCAAGAGATCAACAGAAGTGCAGAAAAATGGTATGGTACTGTAGCCTTGTTTAGAGAGTATAAAAGTACAATGTAATGTAGTTTAGCTAATTTAAGTAAAGCAGCTATTTTGATTTTTACTTGGACTGAAGTGGAAATAATATGGAGAGAGTGCGCTCTCTTGAACACATCCTTCACTTCCCCCATGCCTGAATTGCAAGTATCTCAGAGTCCATCTCTCTGTGCATCTCATTCAGCAGTCTTTCTGTGTTCTGTGAATTAAGGACCCAATTGTGTCCGTGTCTACACAACTGAATGAGCTTTAGCTGGATATTAAGTGCTTCTTATAAATTCACACACCCAGTGTAAATTTAAAATGCCAAAAAACAAATTATTAATTTGACAGTGATGTGTTCTGTAACTTTGAATTCCATCCCAACACTATGCCACTCAGAATTTGCTATATAACAGAAAAAAATAATTTCTAAATACATTTGTGCAAAAATCTCTTTGTATATCAATAACTGTTTAGTTTTACCTGTTGAATTTGCTCTATCTGTATACAAGTGCAAACTCCATGTTCAGCGAAAGTAACAGTATTTTAAGTAAATTACCTTGACCGATGTTTAAAACATTGTAGCATATTAAGGTTTGGCAGTTTGTGTTATTTTGATAAAACCTATAATTTTCTCCTTTTCTTAATTTCAATAACACCTCTCATTTGGAGCATTACACAATGTTTTCAACGTTGGCCATTTAATATCCTCAAACCAAGACTGCTGTTTCTGTTTTTCTATTCCAATTAAAATCAGAAGGTCTGAGGGTCCCTTCATTATTTGTGTACATGTATACAGTATACAGAGGATGCTCTCACAAACAGCTAATTTTTACAATTATGCTATTTAAAAAATATGCAGATGCATGCTTCATTTGAAAAGTAACAATCCTGCCGATCTCTGAGTAATGATTGAAATTCATAAAAAAAACATACTCCTTCAGAGACTGTATTTTACATAGCATTATTTTTATACACAAAAAATGTTTGAATGCTAAATAATAAATCAGCCATGTCAACAGGGAATGTTTATTGACAAATTCTGCTGCAAAATAACATACTGTACTGTAACAAACAAGACAAACTCAGATAATATAATCTCTCCATAATAAAATAATTAAGTATAGAGATTTATAAAATCAAAGCTGAATACCTTGACAAAACAGACATAGAGTTTACAAGGTTAACATTGCAGCATCACTTAACACAAACAAATAATAAATAAGTGTACAATTAATACAGCCACATATTCACAAATGTATAATGTCTCTTCTAAGAAGTGAGCAGGTCAGTAAAGTGTACTTCGTTTCAGGATATATGGTCTTCTGGGTTTGTTAATGTGCAACTGTCTTTTCAAAATATATGGTGATTTCCTCTTTAGTGGCCCCTCATTCTTATAGTCTTGATCCAGATAATCTTCAGTCTTCTGATTGAACTAAAAACAAAATAAGAAAATAGGCATTAGTTAAGTTTTTTTTCCCTTGACATATCAACTCCTTTCTCTCTGCCTTTTCTTGAGAAAATGCTTCAGAAAACAATATATTAAAAAAAAAATATTTCAAAACATTTTAGTAAATGTATGCATTGTGTACATCATTATCTGGTCTGCACACCCCTACTGTATACACGTTACATTGATTAACCCTCTGGCATCACTCTGTAAACTATACTAAAGGTAATTTCAGGGTAAAGGTTTCCTTGACTGTCTGCAGTACCCTTGAGACACTAACCGGGCCATGGTATAGGTTATGTTGGACCTGGAGAGTCAACACTTCACATCATTTTTGCTTTCCAGGATCGCTCTGGGACCCCCTCATATATTTCATGCAAATCCAAACAAGGCTAGGCCTGGGTGCAATCCCATATATTATATATCCCCAGACACTAGTTACTAGAACTCTGGTAAATGAACCTTTCTACCAATAAACCTTTTGCTCAATATCAGGGGTCCTTAATGCTAGGGCTGCAGTTCTGACCGCTTTATAAGTCTATTTAAATAGCGACAATTCAAGACTGAGGCTCAGAGTTAAGTTAATTCATTTGAGTTAATAATTTGTTTAATTTTCATATTAATCATGAAATAACATCAAAAAAGAGCTATCAACTCAGGAGACTAGGAGACAATCTCTCCTAAAGGCTAAAGACTAAGGGGAAATTGGTCTCATTTTATTGATTACAAAGATGCCAACCAACTATGAATGTCTTGGTATTGATATGATCTCATATTTTTTATAAATTTATATTTTAAGCAAAAACATTGATGTATCATGTTTTAAAAGATTATGAGTCTCTGCATACTATGAGGATCACAAGAGCCCAGGATATTGTGATGTCATACAGTACCTTGCATGTTTAGCCTGACAAATTAGAAGAATAATGAACAAACAGCATGATTAATGATTCTGTTTTCAGCAATGGAAAGTAATGTATCACAGATTTATTTGCCATATGTTTTAATTTTTTGTTTCAAAGCCTCATTAAAAATCAGACTTGCACTGGTACAGCTAGTCACTGCTACAGATTTATCTTTTCAGAATATTTACCTTCTTAACCCACTGATAAATGTTCAAAAAAACATTTTTTACCCCTGATATGTGTCCTTCTGTTCTCTGAAGTAATTTAATCAACTGATTGTAAAGTTAGAACTTACAGTGACACATCTCAATACAAACGTGCTGATGAACTCATGTGAATTTGGGTTATTTATATTAATTAAAAATAGTATATACTGTATATATTAATATTAAATATACAAAAATATAAATGAATTGCAGTTTGGTTTTACACGATATTACTCTTCGTAATTCTTCAGTTTTCATAATAGTTCTTTATCAAAATAATATTAATTGCCAAATTACTGTATAATGCTGTTATTATACAGTGGCACAACGGTTAGCATTTCTGCCTCGTAGCACTGGACTATTATCTGCTCGGACTTTGAATGTTCTCCCCATGTATGGCATTCCTCCAGGTGCAGTCAAAAGACATACTGTACTGTAGTTGGTTAATTGGCTTCTGGGAATATTGGCCCTGGTGTGAGGGTGTGCGTGTTTGTGTCTATATGTGCTTTGCGATGGACTGTTGTCCTGTCCAGAGCGTACCATCTCTTAGGCTCCAGTTCCTCTGTTACTCTGAATTAGGTAAGGTGGTTAGAAAATGGATGGATAATACTTGGGAAAAAAAAGTACTGGAAGCAACATCTTCATGTTCATTTCAACAAAATACATGATGATTTGTGCCCTATTTCAGAACTGTACCTAAAAATACTGTGAAATATCATTATAAAACAATGAATGCATGAGGAACGTAATTAATAATATGCATTGCAAAAGAATGTAAATCTAAAATAAATAATTTTAAAATAAAACAAACTAGTTGTCACAAATGTTATTTGTTTCTGTTTACTATAAGGACTCAATTCATTTTGCTTACCTCCCCTCCGTGAAGTATTCTACACAGGTTTTGAAGCTGATAAAAGTCCGCCAATTTCTCTAAGCTGAAGCTATCTGGAAATGTTGAAATTTGTTCCCTTGAGATGAACCCCTCTTCATCACTTGTCCACACATCATCTCCTTGTCTACTTGGATCATTAATAAGCCTGCACATGTTTAGCAACGACAACTTCCAAGACGGGAGCCTTTGTTTATTCACCTGTAGCCATAAACCATAGATCTCTTATTAGCTTATTCATCAAACTGCAATGGTTTCAGTCAATATGACAACTTCAAAGTCATACAGTTCATACAGTAGCCATCCTAATAATAACATAACTTTTCTATTATTTTTAACTATGATAAAAAATATAAGGGTTTTAATATAGAATGTATAAATTTTCCAATATGTTTTCACGGTCAACATAACAAATTCAAGGTCTTTTTCAGCTAAATTAAACTGATGGCAAAAGCATGTACATACAATTATTAAAATAGCAATTTTGTTAGGTAGATTTTTTGCAGTCCAGTCTCAGAATAATGTTTTTCAGAAGTTTGAGTGGATCCTGATGAATGTGACGAGATACGTAGAGATGAGATACGTAGAGTGTATTTGGCATACAGTGCCAAAGAGTCCCAGAAGGGTTTACCTGCCCAGAACCCCTCACTACTGCAAATATTAAGCCAGAAAGTTACTGCAAGGGTGTAGATGGGGTAGCAGGAGGGGTGTGAGAGTGATGCGTGATGGGATGTCCAGGGATGTCCTTTCTCCTAAAATTCTGTTATAAACTCCATTAAGTAAGTAGATTAATTCTGGAAGATTTGTTTGACAGAATTAAGATGTAAATCTCTGGCTTTCTTTTATTTGATTGAGGTACGTGTAATTGTGATCCGGTACATTTCAGAACTTAATTGGAATTGACCAGACTAACCTGAAAATCCCTTCCAACACAACAGTTGCTCATATAACCACCTCATGCAAATAATTAAAAAAAAACCCCAATAAATACTTGTTTTTTGAATGAAAGAAGCATTTTACATACAGTATAATCACCTCAGATTTAAAAAAAAATCAGTTTGGACAGAAGAATTGTCATTTATTGATGTAATATCAATTATGCAAATCAGAAGTAGTCCTCTAAAGATTTTCTATAATATATATGATAAAGCAAGAACTGTAAGTATTTTCCTACTTTTTTTCTGCAATAGTGCTACCACTACCACATTTATTAATATTGATCACGCTATACTGTATCTATATATAATCCCAGTCCCTATAAATAGTGACTGGGAATAAACCAATTTGTAGTAGCACATCTTGGCTTCCTCTAATAAATCAACTAATATGTCCTTTTAGGTAATAAAATATAGTAATAGGAAAATTGTGTATGTTTTATTGGTATTTTATAATCTAATCTGTCACGCTGTGGTTGAAGAACTTAATATTCAGGTGAAATAAAATATTTCATCCACCTGAGAAAAGTAAAATCCAAACTCATCACTTAATATTGACTTTCTGTTTTATAAAGTGTACCTAAATATAATTTGCTATTGACAGGAAGGTTGAAATTTTGATTTAATTTGATTTAAAGAGATTCACAGGGCCTCCTTTTTAAGAAAATGTACTGTATATGGTTCCGAATCAGTGTTGGTGGAACATTAGGCTGTACTCTTCCCTAGTCCTACAGTATGTATCTTAACCAGAAAAATACACCATTAATGTCTCCTGATGAACTGGATAATTATGCAAGTTTAAAATTGTGTTTACTATTTTTAAGCAGACTTGGGGGCTCTAAGCAACACCAAAGCAGGTGAAGCAGATTAATGTAGTACTGATTACATTTAGTCATGAGTACAATTAAATGTTTTATTGGCTTTAGTGGTGTATAGTGTACTAGTACTGCTGTGTTACATCTCAAATATGGCTACACTACTGTAAGTGCAAGACTGAAGGTCCATTATGGAGGTCTTATGGTGAAGTAATTATTATGATGATAAGCACCATAGGAATATTAAATTTACACTATGCTTATTACAGTTACTGTATTGTGTTTGTGTCACGAGGAACAAAGTTTTGCACAGGACAACAGCAAGTCACGGAAATGTGATCAGAGCTGGAACATAGTGCGTTTCAGTATGCAAAATCTTTTTTTTATCTCACGTTTCACATTCTACAATGAAGAATAAGCAAGACTTGCTTGCTTTACTTCAAATATCTACATGAACTCATTACATAATATGGTGAAACCTACATGCAAATAATTATCCACAAATGCCACGATCAGGAGGTGATCATGAGAAAAGGGGTCTCTATCTAAGTAAAAATGAACAATTAATATTCTGCATGAAATAGAAAGCTCAAAGGACTTAACACGTGCTCATTTTTCCAAAAGAAAAAAATCTAAAACAACAGTGGAGCATAATAACTCTGTTGCATGTACGTCTAATACATAATATATACAATAGTATCTGCTCTCTATTAAGAAGATGAAAATATTCATATATGACCTTCATTTTTAAAAGTTCACGGAACTACGGTACTATTAAGATGTTTTTTTTTCCTTCTTTCTCATAAAACGAAATCTATAGCATTAAATCACTTTTTAATCACATTTTAATTTAAAGATATTGTACTACAGGTCCTTTATATTAACATCAGAATCACCAAGACAATAAAATTACGTCTGCATAAAATTCTCCCTCTGGCACAATATCCATTCTAGTGAAGACCAATAATTCCTTTAAATCGTTAGATGTCAATTTCTTCATGAGCAATTAGGAACACAGCACTGCCACAGAAATTTTAAGTGGATTTGTTTAGAAACTGTTCATCTTATTAAATTTGTTCTCCTCATGAAAGCTAATACTGCATGCACATTTAGCAAATGGCTTAACCCTTATCATCCCTTTTCATAATGGTTTCATTATGGTTTCATCAACTCACTCAAAAATATAAAATCTTAGGTATTTGGTATGGCTAAATATTTTACCTACAATACCTATGGTGCTTATACTTATCTGTTCACTCATAAATATCACAACATTTGGAATGGAAAAGTTATAATTATGCAATCTAACATGAAGCACTGTTACATAATTATCTTATTTGTTGTACAGAACATCATATTTGCAAAATGTTAAGGATTTTCTTACATGCACATTGATACAGTATTCTATTGACAAAAATGAAGTACCTTTGCTGTCCTTACATTGTGAACACTGTGAATACCTGTGGTCTGAGTATTTAATTTCTTCATGTCTGTTTAAGTAACTGCTATAAGGTCTTTCTCTTAATTAAGAGCTAACTTGGTTTGTCTCAAACAGAAAATATGTAATAATTTACATATATTGAAAAAGAAAATATTCTGACACATCTCTTATTGAAAATGTTAAATGTGATATTAGTTCTACAATACCTTTGAAATTGTATTCTCACTTTACCTTTCTCAGGAACAGTATGCATTTTTTAAATTTCATTCCATTTTGCCACCTCTACAGATTGACATGATAAGGTTTGGTTTTTGTTTTGCTACAAAAGGTCCTTTTCAGCCAGAAGGAAATGAATTTAACATAAAGTTGTCTTAGCCCACTTGCTTTTATAAACTGGCCAACAATACAGACCACAAAGCATTTCCACTTTCAAGATTGATTTTTCTCTTTAATGTCTGTTATGGACTATATAAACACTACACAATGAATGAAGAGGTGCAGATGATTTACTGTATTTACAAGGGAAAGAGTGTTTGGAGATTACATGAAAGAGCCGTACCAAATTGAAATATGGGTGGAGTGGCAAAAACTACTTTGTATTTGGCAGTTTTGGGCTTCAATCTGGAAATGTAAAGATACATACCTTTGTAGTGTAGAGACTGTTCAGTAACTCCTCTTCTATCATTTTCATTTCCTGGTCAGAGTCTGCAGTAACAACAAACACAAATATTTGCTTTTTATTGGCAACAAAATGAAAAATATTTAATTATCCCCTTTTAGCGGTGTAATAGTAAGATTAAGGGTGCAACAACATTGTCTCATCTGGGTTTTAATCCCACAACCTTCCATTTACAAGCATTGCCAAAATAATTTGATTAATTTGATAATAAATGATACTGACATTGCATGGACAGCTGGTTTCAAACTTGAGAGGTCCTCTCTATAATACAAGGCAAATCCATGCCAAGCTTGTAAGGCCTGTGGAGATCTCCTACCCTCTAATGTTCCTCCTGGCAAATCTGTTCTTTAATAATCCAGTTCTGCATACAGTTGACACAGTGCAGGTCTAACAAGCTGATTCAGAGTACCATAATGATATAGAAAGGGGAACCACTTAACCTCAGAACTTAATTAATTAGTTTTATACCGGTAACATTGATCATTCTTATTCCTGTGTGGCTCTTTGATGATAAAGAGGATTTTCTAATCATCTCACATCTAGTTTAAAAGCCTGCAGCACGAGGGGTTGTTTAACATACTATAAACCTTGTGAAATGGGTTATACCTAATGTGATAATTTTACAAACTTTATTTAGACCCTATATTGTGTTCAAGAGCACGTAGTAAATATTCAGTAGATGCAGATATCTAGGATTTAATATTATAAACTATTATCTACAAACATAACAAACATTCTCAAGATAAATTTCTTACAGTATGTCAAACGTATTGCATTCAGTCTTTAGAAACACCTAGTCATACAAACCATATGCCACATTTATACCTCTGTTTTACATTAGTGTTGAACTTTATATCTGAGGAGTAACAAGTCACTTGGTGAGCAAAAAATTGCAAGACTTGAATGTGTTCCATCTTGACTCGGCCACTTGGCCATTCTCCTGCTAAAGAAGAATAATTTATTGATTATTGTTTTCATTGCTTTGTTTGTCTGCATTACCATGGTGTAAACCTCTTACCCCAGCTGTCATTGTGTTCTTCATTGAGTTATCTAGATACCTAAATGTTGTTGTTTTTTTATTTCAAGCATACAGTACTTGATTAAGACCCTAGTAGGTAGTTTGTTAAAACTTATTAACAGCATTCATAGTCATGTTCCCGAAATTTGCTTGTTAAATGGATATAGTTGTGAAATTAATCTGAAGTATAATGAAGCCTGAAACAGATGTGTTATAGGGCTACAAATGAATTGATATTTGAGGGTTCTTCAGACCTAAAAGCTAGAACTTTGAATGGATGAGTAAAGCTTTTGTGATATTTTTGCCTTAATATTGATTAATGGTACATAACCATTTATATTTATTTACATAATTCTCAATAGCATCTTATCTACCACCTGCTAAAATGCACGAGACGAATTAGTGCCCAAAAAACTAAGAAGACGCATCATTGAAGGTTAATAAACTATACTTAAAACTAAACAAATGGAAAACCTTGTTTCAGACTTATGGTGCCAACATAGTATGATGTGACAATAAATAAGAGATAATGAATTTTGACTTTTCTGCTTATGAAATAAGTCTAAGTGTGAGCCATTATGATTCTGTTACCATCCAAACTGAGGTTGCAGACCTCAGAGTCACATGACTAGTCTTGGGTTCCCTTGATATGTTTGCTTGCCTGTGTGTTGTGAAGCTTTTATGTTACTGTGAGATACCTTAGAAACAACTAATTGAATGCTGGATGGGGACAAACCATGCTAAAAATATTACTGGTCTGAAACTTACAAATGTTATCATTAATACTGTACATGTCATTAGTCTTTTTCCCATCATGTCCAGGATAATTCACTGCAAGTTGAAACTCAGATAAGGACTGTGGGAGTGAGGAACAAACTGCACAGCCGTGATATCCTGGCTTCTTTCAATGAACTGCTGGATAAGATCTTTGGATCAATTAGCTACTAGGAAACAAACAAGCCACTAGTCACTAATTTTATGCGTTTACTTAGTAAACCTACCCTAAGTAAAACTACATGATTTAGACCGTGATAAGAAATAAATATTATGATTTTTCTATGATCTTTTTATCAAGAATGGTGAAATGTTTCAGCAATATAATATTTTCCCTTAATTATAATTTACCTGTTTAACGGGAAACAAAATGCCATAATTGTTTTGCCCCATTTAATGTAATGTTGAAACAACAGGACAAAGAAAAAAATAGTATATAAAAAAAGTAGAGCTTTTAACAAAAATGTTTGAAGTGCTTGAGCAAGGGCCATAACAATAGCCCAAAACATCCTTTGGTCCCTTGGAATTCTTAACAGTTGGTGATTGAATTTGAAGTAATATTAAGAGAGACAAATTAGAGGCACTCTTAACTTGGCTATCAAATATCTTTTTCTTAACAAACGTAATACAGAAATAAAATACTTTTATACTTCAATATAACATTTTGTTCACTACACAATTCACTTAGTATTCATTACGAATTTGGGGGATTTAGTGATCATTTGATATGTATAATTTCTAACAGAGATATTTAATTCATTATATAGTGTTTCTTCCTTATTTCATTCATTATAAAAGTGACTCGTAGTCATTATTTTAAATTATTTCCATAGTTCCAAGTTATGTACTTTTAATAAATCAATCCAATATGTGTTCTAAAATTGGATTCTAGGATATCTGATGTGGGTGGCATGGTAGTGGAGTGATTAGCATTGCTGCCTAGCAGTGCTGGGGTCCTGGGTTCGATTCCTGGGATGTTCTATGTGTTTATATGGGTTTGCTCTGGGTGCTCCAGTTTCCTTCCACAGTTCAAAGATATACTGGTAGATTAATTGGTTTATGGGAAAATTGGCTCTGGTGTGTGTTTGTCCTGTCATAGACTGGTGTCCTGCCCAGGGTGTATCCTGCCTTGTTTCCATTTCTTGCCAGAATAGGCGCCAGCTCCCTCACAACCCTGTATTGAAAAAAAAGGTTAGAAAATGAATGGATGGATAGCTGTTGTAATTTAGAATATTGGTAGTTGTGTTGATGTCGAAGGTTTGATTTAGTTTTGAAAATAGCAGAAAATAAACAGCAAATATGAGGTTCACAAGAAAGGTGAAAGCATGAGGGAGCCAATCAAATTTTGAGATATCAGCACTTACAGTACTGATATCTGTATGTAAAAACCATTATTCTAATGATTTATGTATTACACATTAAAATAGGCAATTCAGGAATATATGTCTCCTAGTGATAATCGTTTTTGATCTTTTTTTTTGGTAGAAACATGTCTTCAGAAATCAGAAATTACTTTTGATCATGCAACAATTTGAAGGATTTTGATAAGCATTTATGTGACTAATTTCACTTCATAACATAATGTAACTTGAACTGAAAAAAATAACTACTTTAATTTAACAGCAGAATTCATTGAGATCTTTATAAGCACATTTTCACATTTATTTTGCAGCATTATACACTTCAATGTATTTTTTCTTAATGTCGCATTGTTAAAAATAATTTTCATACTTCTACGACACACATCACATTGTTTTCTTATTAAGAGTTGAACGTTTTGTATTTAAATTTAACTTAAAAATAATAGTTTTCCAGAAAACTCAACATTTTAAATTATTTTTTCAGCTTTTTTTAATTTTTCTCAAATTATTTCTCGTGAAATAATTCTACCATTATAATATGTCTTTAGTGGATTCATCCTTTATTATTAAGGTTTCCGTATGTGTATTCCATGTTACTTTCTTCAATACTTTGGAAAGACCAGTTTCCATAACAAAGTTTTTATATCAGTGTAAAAACAAAATCCAAAGAGACTTAATGTGCAAAAGCAATACACTCTCTTCTGTGTTCATCCTACCCTGCAATATAAAGTATAAATATAGCAAATGTGAGACCTGATTAATAGCAGAGATTTGTTTTTAGATTTGTACAACATTAAATATTGTTTTCACATGCTAAAAATAATATTGGTCTATTTAAATGAATAGACCAATATAGACAAATAGACTCTAGATGAGTCTATTTGTTAAGGAAAAGTAATTTTATGTACTGCATTGTTTAGATGAAAAAAAAAAAACGTTCTTTGAAGTCATTTCAGACTAATGTTTTTCTTAATCTTTTTATGTAAATGTAATATTCTTTCAGTTATTTGTTTTACATTACATTACATTGCATTGCAACTGAACCTAGTCTTGTTTGCTAATCTGTTTCTAGTGTTTTATTATTATTAACTATAAATATTTGATAAAAGTAAGAGAAAATAGCAAAGACAAAGTGTTTTACATAACCAAGGATTTATAGGGAAAGTTATGGTGAAATGTAGATTCCCACAGATGATAATGACAATCACAACTACTTGTAATGTTTGAAGAACAAGTAGTAGCATCAGTAGCAATAGTGGTAGTGATGGTACACATCAAGACACACAATAAAAAAAAACACATTTAAAAGCTTAAAATCTCAGAATATTAACACTGATAAAAGAAAACACTGTTTTTATATTATCTCAGATCAGACACCTACTGTAAATCTTGCCTGTGTAGCCTTTTCCTGCTGCAGTAAATAAATTAGTGACACCCACCTGAGCACATCCCATCAGAAGCCGCAAAGAGGAGCACCAGACAAATAAGTTGAAATCTCATCGTGTGAACTCCAAGTTATTTTCTGTCTAAATAATGATGAAGTCCATATGGAAAGGATCAGGAGAGAACTAAAACACTCTCCTTGTGCTTGGGTGCAGAATAAGGAGCTCAGGATTCCATTCACTCAGTATATAGGCAGCTGCATGATGTCATGAAGACACTCCACCCCCTCTACTGTACTACCCAAATTCAAGAAAGGCGTCATTCATTAAATGTATTGCGCATTGTCTATTGGATAAGCAGGCAGATCTGCCCTTTGATAACTGAAATTAATATCATTATGAAATTTAAATCAATTAATTTTTTTAAAATCTAACTATATGTGATCTTTCTGTGGAAATGTAACAACATTTTTTTAAATTTCTCACAAGAATGTGAAAAAGAGAAGACACAATGCTAGCCACTACTCACTCAATGTTCAATCAATGTCTGCCTTAGATCATTAATCATTTGGCAGAATCTTATTGACTGACAAAAAGGAAGCATTTCAACAATTTGCATGCAATGCTAAGGATAGATTATAAATTTTGTCTAGCTGGTCATTAAGAAACATAAGCAAGAAAAGCACCATCTTGCTTCTTGACAAATCTTGCCATGATCATTGAAATATACACCTTGTTAGTTCTGTGTGAAAGAAGGGTTTAAAACAGCATGGAAAAGAAGAGAGATACCTGAAGCAGTCACAAGGGTAAATACACATTTGGGAATATAAAGAATTCTATAAAGGGGCTGCATGTCCCACAAGCTCCTGGTTGTGTTTAACTGTACTGTATGCTACAGAATGTAGAATGATTCAAACATCTTATATGTTTATAGTTATACAGTATATGCACAATATCTGATACTGTATATAGTATAATTACTGTATACTGATAAAAACTATAAAAAAAACTACTTACAGTATAAGCACAGGTAGTGTTACAGGACTTGTAAGAAATATGTGAATAGCCCCTTTTCACTACCCTAAAATCTCCTTAATCAGCCGTCTTAAAAGCCTTTAAGAAACTTTCAACAGTGTTGCAAAAATTATGATGGAGTTTACATTTCTATGCATTATGTTTCGTGGAATCTCCACTGAATGTCTTGGGTAAGTTGGTGAATTACAGTATTTTTAAGTCTATTACTTGAAATGTATATTGTATCTAAATGTATTCTTTAATGTTAAGGATGAGTGTACTGTAGGATTTACAGTTTTTAAAAAAATGCCACTTCTATACTCTTAATATATTTAAGATAAGAGTCACAAAATATTGGAACCTAAAAGCTAATATTAGAATGAACATCAAATGTAATAGTAGAGAATGAAAGTATACTTATTTTATTGTCACAGGTTAGTATTGGCAGAGTGCAGTGCTTTGTATGAGGTATAATGCTGTATAAGTTCAGTAAAGATCTCAGTAAAATGTAGAGAGCAGGCATTGGACAGCATTTTCATATCTTTCATGTATAATGCAGATATTTATGCAAATTTTAATAATTTGCCATATATATCCCTTCTATTATATAGTATATTTAATGCTAACATTTCAGCATTTCTCTACAAAAAGGTTTTTATGACCAGAACTTTATTTAAACTTTATTTAAAAAATGTACAGTTAGGGTATGCCAAAAACAAGACCAAGAGCAAGTGCAAGATGACTCTATTTCACACAGCCTTGTCAATGATCAAACAATAGTATTCCACTTTCTAGAACTCATGATTGTGTTTAATTGTATGCAATACCAAGAGAACCCATCTCAGGTTCAGCCCAAATTCATCTGGTGCCAAGAATATCAGGCTTCCAGTTTTCTCATACTGGTAGTGGGCATGTTGTGTTAAGAGCAGACTGTGAAACTAAATGAAAGAATAGATTCTGCAGAAGTACTGCAACTGCATATTTTATTTACTGGGATTAATAAAACGTGTCATTTTTCTCTTTTTAGTATATTTTTATTGTGCTAAAATCTGAAATCACTTACATAAATTAAGACAGAACTTCTATTATAGTAACTCCCTATGGGTTATTCACTTCTGAATAGCCTTACTATCTGGGCTTACTTGTCAATGAAAAAAACATGTATCTTTAATTGTCACCAATAATAAACAAATTTGTACGATATAGATACACTACGAGATAAAATAATAATTTGTTTCATATTTAAAATAATTATATGACACCTGACATTAACTATTGCAGGTAACAAGATACCCACTGGTCGTCTCCCTTGAGCAAATGGTTACGTTTACATGTTCATCTACTGTAGTTTGACATTAACGCAACGGATTTAAGAGGATGGTGAATGTCTAGATTAACTTCAAACATAAGGAAAAGAAGATAAAGCTATTGTGCAATATCTGTTCCTTTATATTCTGTATGTTAGAATTTCAGATGATGAATTAACACTACCAATTGTATCATTGCAAAATCGGAACAAGCTAGTGAAAGACAATTTTCCTTATTTAAAGTTTTACATTATAATCTGTTAATTTAATAATGTGATTTTATCAAATACATACGATCGTATCACGATATATTTTTTTCTCAGTTGTCCAATAAAATATGTCATGTGTACTGATCTGATTAGAGGCAGTGAAGAGAACTTGTTAACGTTAAGTTATAAAACAGGAGTGCTTTGCTGTTCAAGGTGGTTACTACTAACAAAGACGTTTTTTTTTATGTTAATCAGCGTTTCAAAAGGGTGTACAGAATTTGACTCTTTTGTGCCACCACTTGGAAATCCGTGCAACGGTTTGTTTTTTCTAAATGTTGGCATTCAGAAATGAATTACAGTATGTACGGTATAAAAATGCCAGCAATTTTTTAAAACACTTGATCAAATATTTCAGTCGCAATAAAATGAACACGCGTTCTAGATGTCTGTTGGGCCTTCCTGAGCCACGGCATATAATGTTTGTTCTTAAGATCATAAGAAAGGTTACAAACGAAAAGGTAGTCTTACGGCCCATCTAGACCATTTGGTACATTGGTATTTAATTGATCCAATTATCTCATCCGGCTATTCCAGGGTATTGGCTTTAACAACATGGCTTCAGCCATGCTCCTACAATTCTTTGGGTAAAGATCTACCTTCTGTTCTTCATTTTTGATGCACTTCCACCATGTTTCTTTTGTTTGACTGACTTTGTCAATGTCTGAGGATTTCTAAATACTGTACTTGTATGAGGTGCCGTTGAAATCTAAAACTGCACGTTGAACACTAACAGACGATTACGTATGCACCACTTGATGCAAGATTTTAGAAATCCAAGGGAAAATATTCATGTATTTACATGCAAAGTAAATAGTTGGATAAACGATCACACATTTAATCTGTTTAGGCTAGTATAATTCACGGCTCTGATAAAATAACTTGCCAACCCTTATAAATGTCAAAATTATGTTTTGGTGCAGAAAATAACACATGAAGACAAATAATAAAACATATTTTCAAGAAGATTTATAGAATAAGTTACGTTTGACTAATATTCACAACATATTGTCTTCTTACACGTGTTATAGTCTGTCAATACTAGAAGGAGAGCCAACCCTTCAGGCACAGGTCGCAAAGTCATAGCACAGACCGGACATGACAAGTGCTCATTGCATAGCTCAGAGGGCAATTACTAAATACTAATTATTATATCATAATCATGTTTATTATATAATTAACTTTGGGAGAGTGTGTTTGGAATGTGGAAGGAAACCGGATTACCCGAGCAAAACCCATACTAACGCATGCATGAACACTCAAATACGAATGCAGAACACATGTAAATTCAAAAGAACAGCGTAGAAGAAGACGATGATTTTCTGTCATTCAGATTTTGCTCTAAAACTTAAAATTGAAATTATCACTGAATGAATAAGGGTGTCTGCTAAGCAAATAAATAAATAATGACTTCATCATGTATGTAAATAAATGCATAAAAGATGTAAACATGATTGCCCTCAAGTGTTGCAGATCAGCTGCCTCCAAATTCCATGCAAAGAAAAAAGTAAATTGTTATTCAAAGTCCAAAACATAAATTCACAAAATTCTTTGGACTTTGAATATTCTAAAGTTTTAGTAAAAGTTTGATTTCTCATATTAAAATACTTTCCAATGATGAGAATGATAACAAATGCTTGACGATGATAAATTCTTAAAAATCAATAAGAGCAATTGATTGTTTTTACTAATATTCTCATCCATTTCGCTTGCCTTGGTGAAATCTTTATCAAAATGGGCTGATGTTACATACATCCATACCTTTGTGTTTCTTATAGTACTGTATTTCTACCTTGTTTTGAACGTGGCAACGTGGCAGTGATTATTTGTACAGTATGTGATTATCTTTAAGGCTTTTAATAAAGATATCCATCTTATTACATAGTCCTTGTCTCCACAGTCCATTTTTATGGATCAATACTTTTTTATGACTATACTATGTATTTGAAGAACAGGTTAAACAAGGATGTACGAGGGCTGTAGTGTACTAATTCGAAAGATTTTTTTTTTGCATAACGCCACCTTCAGTGTAGGAATGGGACGGGCTACTCAAGTACAACTAAACCAAAGAGAGAACAAAGTTAACAGTTCAAGTCCGCCCCCACCTTCAGTCTAGTCTTTCGCTGCTATGAACTGTAAGGGCTACAGTCAAATCATGCTCCTTGTTTAACATCTCCTGGGATTTTTGTAGTCTTTCAAGTTACCATGGCTCCCTTTGGAAGGAATTTCTTAAAAGCGCGCCTGAAAAATAGGTAATTTATTCCTTCGAATTTTTCCCTTTATTGAACTATTGACCGCTTCACTATTGTACTTTAACGCAGCTAATTATTGAACTTGAAAGCTGGTTTATTCGCCGTTACTTCTCGCTCTCAAACTGCTACCCGTAAACCTGAACCGTGAAGTTCTTCCTGAACTTAATGTTAATTTATGTGCCTTGTTCAAGGTAAATTCCTGGACAGGCTTTGTGTGTGCTTGACTCAAATACTAGCAATGAACTTACAAAGTGTGTTTTCGAAGGAGGTTTGTAAATTATGATTTGCCCCTTCTTTGCTAGTTTTCCTGATCATTAGTAACATTTTAGTTTTAGTTGTGCGTGTGTAGGTAAGGGTTAACCGTTTCCATCAAAATCTCTGCGACACGAAATCCCAGTCAGATGTGTTACTAAACTATTAACGTCGAAAAGATGTTCAAGCTTTAAGCAAATGAATGAGTCCATATTTCCACAATTAGAATAAATGTGTATCAAAACACTTTAAATGACTTTAGAAACTTAAGTTACCCATGGTCCTTCACATTAACGCAATACTGCACTTCTAGCTAAAATATTTATTTTACTTCAACAACTGCACGCATTTCTACTAACCCCTTGATTAAATTCCTATTTGTATTTGATATTACTTAATGCAGGATGAAGGGAAATGTTTTGTTAACTTAGTAAGTAAACTGATCGCGTTACATAACGATACATTTAATATTGTTGTTGTATCCAGTAAAGTAAATGTTTTTGGTCATTGTTCCAAATTTTCGAGGCTGACGTAGCCAATTAACCAGGGCTTGTAAAGCGCCTGTTGAACAGAATTTGAAAATCAAAGAGATTTTCAGAGATCAGCATGGTATACAATGTTTATCCCTTAAGCGCGACATAATTACAGATGCGTGGTGTTGCGTGTTTAATTCAGTAGTTTGAAAACTCATTATACTTCATGACAAACTAATTCGTCATACTGTTGTTATGCTAGAACTATAATGCGAGTCATGACTTTGAATTTTGGGATTCCCCTCAACAGTCTTGTGTTTCAATTATTTTATAATCATGGGCATACAAAATGGTAATAGAGTAACTTAGACAAACAGAATATTTATCTTGTCACGATGAAACATTGCGTGACTAATGATGGAATATTAAAAAAAAGAATTGCTTAAATTAAGGTAACCGTAAAGATAAAGCTAAATTGAATAGGTTTAACAAAAATCATATTAAAGCTAGTTTTTATCAGCATTTGGCAGTCTAAAAATACATTAACTTGAGTTTATGAAATTCTACTAAAAAATGCTATTGTTATGATAGCTTTTATCATTCGTAATTATTCAGATCATGTGCTATTGAGTAATATTTTAAAATACAGTTCTGAAGTACTTTTTATCAAATAAGTATTTAATTGTATCTCCTGCAAAGACAAAGCTAGTGCAATAATTCACATGTCCAGGTAGGAGTGCTATAAAGAAGAATAGCAGATGTTCTAAAATATTTAGACATATTTAATGCAGTGCAACAATTGATTTAATAATTTTCCATTGTATTGGGTGCTATTAATTCTTAATGATCTTTATGATAAAATGGGATTCTAGGAGGACAAAATGTGATCATGTCACTTACAAAGTCCATTTGTGGATAATTTCCTGTGTTATCAATAGGAAAGAAGAATAACACGATCAAATTAAATGCAATACTAAATGATTTTTGACTGTGAGCAACATTTCTTTAAATACTTTATAGTTTATTGTATTTTGTGGCTGAAGAAATATGCCAAAATAATTAGAAGAATGTCAGAAAAAGATATCTCTAGTATTAGTGATAGCTTAAATACAATAATGGATCTTAGATGGCATGTTCTGTGAGGCGCACTTGAGTGTATCTAGTTTGAAGCCTAGCCAAGCTGAATTGCCAGTCTCAGTTTTGACCCCTTTATTGGCATCAGCTAAAGGATATTAATTCTGTCAAGTTAAAAATTGTGTAAAAGGAAACCATTTAAACAAAGTGAGATCTTCTTGAATTCCTGTCATCTCTAAAACATGACATGATAAACATTCACTGGTGGGAATGGCATCTAGCTAAATGATGACTGTTTATCTATAGTAAGACAAAATGTGGGTGACAGAGCGGCACAGAGGTTAGCAGTGCTGTATTACAGTGTTAGGACCCTGGGTTTCTGAGGTGATACTGTATGTGTGTGGTGTTTGCATGTTTTACCCTTGTACACATGGATTTCATGGGTTTCTTTTGGTTGCTCCAGTTTTCCTAACATAGTCTAAAGACATACTGCTAGGTTAATTAGCTTCTCTAAAAACTGGCACTGGTGTGAGTGTGTGTGTGTTTGCATTTCTCTGTGCATTGCGATAGACAGGTTATATCCTACCTTCCACTTGCTGCTTCCTGTGCCTCTGTTACCTTAAATTGGATAAGCAGAAAGTGGATCTACAGTCCACAACATACCTGATATCATGTACAGAATTTCACATTACATAATTTAGTTTATTTCAGCCTTAGACACTGGCAAAAGAACAGGTTTTAAAGAATTTGTTTCTCAAAAAGCCAGAAGAAGGGCATTCCAAAACAATAGAGCAACGATAGAAAAAATCACAGTCCAGTCACCAGAAGTCTGAGATTTAGTCCCGGATACAGTGAGCAAAAGACCAGTCTCAACTGAATAGAGCCTGCAGGAGAGAGTGTAAATACAGAGGAGTTCAGAGATGTATAGTATAAGGGAGCCAGATTATTTAAAACCTTGAAAAACAGTAACAAAATCTTATATTGAATGACTTATGACTTTCATGACTTTAAAGGTAACCAATATAGGGATTTACAGTAGGTGTAGAAGCGATATGCTACTCAGGTATGGTGTGGGTTAGAAATGTAGCTGCAGAGTTAAGTCTTATAGCAGCTTAATTAAGAATAGTGTTAGGAAGCCCATAAAGTAAAGAGTTGCAGAAATTAAGCCTTGATGTTATGAATACATGAATTGGGTACTCAGCATCGGACATTGATAGAAATTATTTTAATTGCCAATACTCTTAAGGTGAAAAAAAGGGGGGATCAAGTGCGACCCCCAGATTCTTGATGGCTTAAGCCTAAATTGAGGAACCATCCACTATTACCGTGAAACTCTCCAGCTTTTTCAGTTAACATTTTCTGTCCACCAATAAAATTTCTGTTTTGTCATTATTTAGCTTCAGGGAATTTGATGTCAACCAGAGCTAAATCTATTTTGTCTTTATAGCTGATCTTATAGAATGATCTTAATTTCTATATCTGTTTAAATATTCGCTATTTTCTACTGGCATTATATTTTGAGGTCAATTAATTAAAGTCTTAATATAGACGGCACAGGGGCATAGTGATTAGCATTGCTGCCTCACAGTGCAGGGGCCCTGGGTTCAGTTCAGGCCTTGGGGTGCTGTGTGCATGGGGTTTGTGTGTTCATTCTGTATTTACCTGAGTTTCCTCTGGTTGCTCTGGTTTCCCTCAAAGTCCAAAGACATACTGGTACAGTAATTGGTTTCTGGGAGAATTGGTCATGGAGTGAGTGAGTTTTTGTCTGTGTGTGCGCTGCAATGGATAAGAGTCCCTTCCTTGGAATACCCCACCTTTTTCACATGGCTTGCTGGGATAGGCTCTGGCTCCCCTGCGACCCTGAATTGGATGAAGCGGTTAGAAAATGGATGGATGGACAATCCTATTGCATAAAGTGGTTATTTACTGTAAGTTGTTGTTTGCAAAAGAAATGTCCAAATACTAATAACAAACCATGTTTTTGATTTTTGTTAGCAGCTGTTTATGACAGTAATATATGCAGCATAAACAGATAACTTTCTCTTACAACTTTCTCTTTTAGTCTTGAACTTCTGATCTGCAAACTGAGCCACAGCAGATATATTTAGAATTCATTTGAAATTGAACAAGATAGTGACTGTCACTTCCTTTGAGTTTAAATAAGTACCCCAGTAAATACAGCTAAATCCCCTAATTAACAAGTTTGGATAGATATCTTGGGTACATCCACCAAAACTACAAACTTTTTGTCAGTTTTAAATATATATTTGAAACTTTATGCATATTTTAGTATACTGTATCTGATGTTTATTTCCTTTTAGATGTATCCTTGTGTTCCTTGGTCTTAGTGCAGCCTTTGATAGAGTAAATCATTCACTGCTTGAAAACATTCTTGTCTATCAATGAAATTGTCTTTAACTGGTTTTGCTCATATCTGACTGGCAGGCAGCACTTTGTTTCCCTTGGTCCTCATAAATTTCCCATGACCTCATTCAAGCATGGTGTGCTACAGGGTTCGATCATTGATCCATTATGTTTTATAATTTATATGTTTCCACCCAGTCAGATTATATGCAAATGTGGTCTTCACTTTCATTGTTATGCAAGATAATACTCAGATTTACATTAAATATTCTTCCACCTCTGATCTCCTGCCTCTGTCACTTATCTCTCATGCGCATGCCAATAAATTGCTCATCTCCTTAGATGCGAAGGCAAACTGCTATACTGGAATGTTAAGGTTTTACATTTTGGTGTTAGCTACAGTACTGTATATCAATTTAATTAGCACTTATGGGCCCATTCTATGTGAATAGGTATTTCCCCTCTGTTTAGCTGTGTCCTGTACCTGTGGCAACAGATATAAAGACAAGTGTCATGTAAACATGACACCTTGCTATATTGCTCTTTAATCTCCTTTGTCCATAAGGCAAAAATAAAACATGAGATCAGTTACAAGTTCATTTTGAGTTCAGGTTTGCTTATTTCTCCATTAAATAGCATACTAGTCTAGGATTGATGTATCTGACAGCTCTAATAACGTGTATTGAAATGGTGAATCTTTATTTTCATAACATAACAATACCTTGATCAGTTTGAAATTTAATCATAATCTTGGCATTATATTCACCTTGCATCCTTTTTGTGTAGAACCTACCTTTACATTTTGTATGACAGCACTATAAATATATGTTCAGGTGA